ATCTGTGGACTTGTGGAATTGCTCTTTGGAGTTCACAGTGATTTACATACCTTTGGTGGAGATCAAAGAGTGAATCAAAATAGAAGAAATACTTGGCCTGAATGTCATATGATGCTATTAAAATAATCACAGGAAGTGATCAGTATGCCTCATCTTCCTTTTCTACTGTTCAGGCTGTAAAGTGTAGGAAACTCATGTTCTAATCCATCTCTTCTTGTTCTGGAAATTTCAATCCTGGACTCATGTTTATAGTAGTGACTATGAAAGTGTCATGGTGATGTAAACATCACTGCCCTGTACCCCATCCAGACAGGGCTACGAGCTTGGAAGACATGCACATGAGACCGACATAAGGAATACTGCTCTGCTGATAAGTGAGAGGAGATTTATTTGGGTTGAGACTGATTTCACCACGTGGACAGTAACTAAAGAGAACTGTAGGGAAGAAGGGCTAGGCAAAAGGAAATGGGGTGCTCCTGCTCCCCTTTGCTTTCTGAAATATCATGCTCTACAGTTCAAATGTCTAGTACCCACACCCCCACCCCACCTTAGCCCCCGCCATTGACTTGGAGAGGTCCTGCTTTGGGCAGTCTTCCTTCCCTGTGGAGATCCACGTAGGGCAGCTTTCTCTGAATTCCCATCAAGCATGGCCACTGACTCAACTGTGGGACTCATGCTCGATTTAGTCAACCTCTATTTCTGCTAAATTCCTTCAACCAGATAACCTACTTCCTTCCTATGTTTTCCTCAACATGGAAATCATCTGGTATATTCCTGTGGAGCTTTTTAATGTTTTTGTCTGCATCGCTCCCCAAATGGTTGTTAGTTTTTACTCACCATAATGCCTCCCCAGAAAGGGTACCACAGAATTACACAGATTGGTACGTAGACCTCCGTGTGGATCAACAGGAAGCCGCCTATGGCAATGTGGAAGAGCCCATTCATAATCTGGACAGCCTGGGGAGGGAACAGGGGCACTGATGGATGAACTGAAGTCACCAGTCAGAAAGCAGAGATGAAGCTGGAAGCCCTAGCTCTTGAGCTGAGTGGGGCTGCATAAGATGCCCAAAAGCAAGTGATGAAGGTATCAAGACCCTTGTCTGGTTCGGATCCATTTTCCCCACCACCTGAGGCATTTCCAAGGCAGTTATGCCTTGGATGTTGAACTGGGTAATGAACTGGGATGGGCGACCCCTAACTCTGCAAGCCTCAAAATCAAGGGGCATAAGATCACCATGATAATTTCTCTTTACACCTCTGATTTTGCCCACTGTGTCAGATATAAAGAGCACCTCAGGTTGGATCAGGTACCCTCAGATCGGCTTGAACTCTATACCTGGCCTACAGCATCTGCTTCTATAGGCCAGAGAATCCCTAGGGTGTGGAATGAAGGGCAACCGACTTACCCCCAGAGCCTTAGATTCCCTCAAGAAGAAGCCTTGGGTGGGGCCCACCATTGAAGGCACCCTCCTGGGAATCCGTCTTTGGACAGGATACATGGAAATAGGACCTTTCATGGGATCTGCTGGGACAGCCCCAGTCATCGAATTTCTGGGTGTCGTCATTTCACCCTCCAGACTGCTACAAATAGAGCAAAAAATTAAGTGAGCAGAGAGAGAACAGGATTTTTGGCAGCCTTTTGTCTCGTGTCATTCATCTGAATACGTCCCTCTGTCTTCTCTCCGTGGGTGTCACTGATGGGAGGCATGGCCTCTTCCTGGAAGCTTTGGATCTGAGGCAAGCCCTACTGCCATGTCCCAAGACAGCGTCCGGAGGGGGCGTCTCAGACAGGGATGGACAGGCTCCGGGGTCCCTTCCATTATTCTGGGCAACCATGTTTGGGACATGTTTTCTCTTCATAGAGACTATCATGCTCGTGTATCTGTATGTTCTGTGTGTCTGTCATCCTTGGATGCTTTTCTTCCGCTTTCATATCAGAAAATGTACTTTGCGTTGACTTCTCCTTGTCCTTTTGCTTATCTGCTTTTGTCCATTGTGATGGACCAGAGGCATCATGATGGAGTATGATGGGGAGCCATCCTTGGAATGAAGAGGGCCTGATTCAGTCTTCCCGTACCTCTAACTCTGCGACCTTGCTTAAATCATGTCAGGGAGGCTCTCTACGTTTCTGTGTAAGACTGTAGCTTCCTGAGTCAGATTGCCTAGGTTCAAGTCATGATTCTTCTATTTGCTGTGAAACTTTCGGCAAGTTTCTTAAATTCTCTGGGTCTCAAGTTCTTCAGCCACAAAATGGGGATAGTAATCATTCTCGTCTCAAAGGGTTGCTGTAAGACTTAAACGGGCCGGTGGTGTGTGCATGGCTGGTGTCTTTTCATTATTGGGGGCGTGGTTAGCTCAGATGTCAGCTTCTCAGAGAAGCCTTCCCTGAACCCCTAGTGCACAGTGCATCTCACCACACCCCATTTTATTTGCTTCATGGCCTTATCAGTTTGAGGAATTACCTTATGTGTTTGCTTGTTTCTTGTCTGTTTCTCCCCACTAGAATATAAATTCCATCAAAGCAGAGATCTTGTGTTCTCTCTTACTCAATATTTAAAATTATGCCTGGATTTAGTAGTGTCTTCATAAATATTATCAAAGAAGTAAATGTATATATAGCACTCGTGTCTGAATAATTATTAGCTGCTTTTGTTGCTGTTCTTGTTCTTAATATTATTACCCTTATGAGCACTAACTTCTATTTTTTACCTGAAAAATGAGAACAATACCCCTTTCACAGACATGTTGTGAGAAATAAGTTCATTAACACATGTGAAAGTACCCAGTACGCAGGGAGAAAGTAGTAAATGCTGTTTGTTCGTAGAATTCTTTGTCTACACGTTTCTGGAGAGAAAAGTCCCTCTCCAGCTCTGACACTTTAGGACTGTTCAGCCCTCTTCATCTTGTCATCCCCTTTGGTATTCACTTCTTTATGTCAGTTGCTTACATGAATCCTATTGGGTCTTTCCTGGGCCCTCCCTGGAAATCTCTCCTGAGGGACACATCTTTGGCCTTGTCTTTATTGACTGTAAGTCATGTAAGGGGCCTTGGAGGCCAAGGCTGTCTGTCCAGCTTGCTTATCTTTAAAGCCACGCAGAGGCGGGCACCTGCAGGCTTGTTGTAGGACAGGTGCTTGGGCGTCTCCCAGGCCTCACATCTGTACCCACTTTCTAGTAACAAAGGCATTTCATACCTAGAATCTCATCTGAGCCTCAGTGTAGACAAGGGATGAATCACTGCCCCTATTTTGTAGAAAGGGTAACAAGGGCACAGAGAAGTTAGGTAACCTGTTCAAAGTTACATAACCATCAGAGATTTAAAGTGAGGACTCAGGCCTAGCCAACAGGATATCGATGGTACCAGGCTGCTTTGTCCTCTGTGGGGAATAGGACTTCCGCCTTTCACTTATGAATCTCTTCCTTCTCCTTCAAACAGATGTGCTAAGTGGATGAATGTAAATCAGCTGACAACAGAATACCTGTCTGGGCCATGGCTGAAGGGGAAGACAGGAGACTTGGGGTGCTTCACACTTTTTTTCTGTCCCAGCTCTAGATTACCAGATGTCATGTGGTCTTAGGGATCTGCTTTGTATCACAATCCACCCCACAAGACCACCAACACAAGGGAATGTATGAATATCGACCACTAAGGAGTTTACAAACTGATTCTGGTCTCCAGGCAGAGTTTTTAAGGTTAATCAGAACCTCAGAAACCATTTGCTCATTTGACAAATGAGGAAGCTGTGGCCTGGGGCTAGGACATTGCCTTGGTGAAGACCTTGCACCTATAGATGGAGCCAAACCAGAAGGCAGCCACCAAGGCTCTGAGGCTGGCGGTCTTCCTGCTACACCACGGGCTGAACTACAGAGTTGAAGTTGTTTTCTGGGCTATTGTGTATCTAGTTCCAACTCCCCCAACACCTTCCTTACTAAGTGGGCATTTTGTCTTTTTTTAGATGTGAAAATGGAGGTTCTGAAGGGTTAATTAATTTTTCCAGAATATGTATGCAATGAGCTTGGAGTCACCACACTCCTGTCTGGAGGGCTCATTTTAATGAGGACAACTTAAAGATCAAAGATCATCCATTGGACAGGAGGAGATGATTGGACTACCATTATTTTAATTTTTCTTTATTTTTCAACTGCCTAAGGCTATGTCTGTGTGATCGGTGGGATAAACCTTTTACGTAAACAAGTCCTGCCTGAGTTGTGTCTACAACGGCTAATGGCAGTAATGACCTTTGGAGGGGAGTATTTTCTCTCTCTTAAAACAATGTCTCACCATGACAGCTATATTTCTACAAAGCCTTCAACACATATTACTGTAAAATAGTTTATAAACATAAATATACTTGTTTCTATATGCTGCTTTATGTTTTATGGAAATAATCTCTCTAAAATATATACATGTTTTTATGCCAGGTCATTGTAGACTAACTGAGTAATGAAAGATTTCGTTCTATGGGAACATAAAACTAGACCATACACTCTTACGGATATTGTAGATTCCTGCAGCCTTAGTCTACGTGTTTTTTTCCTTAATTGTTAACAATGACTGTTTGTTTCAACTGTGTGTTGTTCAGTGAACAATTATGCTCAAAGACTCGTTGGTACACTAGTAGTGGTTACCGAACACGTTGGTCAAAATGCAATAATAATAGGGTTCTATTTTCACTAAATTGTATTAAAATCAGGACTCAGTGTATCAGACGTGGCCCTATTTTATTACATCAATTTCTGCAAATCTTTTCTGATTTTTAAAAGGCACCCCTGTTTCTGCATCCATCCACTGAAGAAGATCTCACAGTCTTTATGGGTTTTGGTTTGAATAATGGCTTTTAGGTCCAATAATTCCATCATTTACTGTGAAGTTCAAAGTTGCCTAGCTTTTGTTACCTCAACTTCCTCCTTTGCCACTCAAAATAGTTTTGCATTTTTATCCCCTGGGCGCTTATCTCTGAGGAAGAATGTTCTTACTTCCTTTCCCTCTGTGCTTCTCAGCCCCTCTCCTTCCACCAAGACGTTAGTCCTTCAGAGAAATCAGTCTGGCATCTTTCAGTCTCTCATTCTGTTCAGGGTGGTGTGTAGCAGAAAAAGCTAGTCCCAGCTCTGTCCCTTGCAACTTTTGTGATCCGACCTCTCAATCTCTATTCAAAGTCTTGTTTTGAAAACATGAGATCATTTGCAATTGATAAACTATTAACCGCTCAAAGAATAATTGTTATTACTGGACCCTTTTTATGATTAAAACGCGCCGCAGTGTCCCCCAATCCCAAAGCCGCATGCCTTTAATCTAGCGCCGTCCTGTCCACTGCCCAGTCTCCCCAAGCCCTGTACCCCTAGCTTTTTAAAAGCGTGTCGTTCCACTCGCTTCCTCCACTTCCTCACCACCCACTCCCTCCTCCGCACTTGGCAGCTAGTTTCTGCCAGAGCCACTCAGTTGAAACTGCTTGCTTCAAGGACTGGGCTGAGAAGCCAGGCAGCATCCCTCAGATCATTTCATTTCTGCTTCCCTGTCACCCAGGTTGAAAACGTTGGAGCCATGTTCCTCTCCAGCTCCTTTACCTCCCATGGTGGGTCATGGCCAAGTCATGCCCTTTCAGCCTCCTTAAAGTCTCTTGTTTTGCACGTGGACTTTTTTCTACTTCCAGTACTCCCTCCCAGCACTGCCCCACCTGCCATGAGTTTGATTCTCATTTCCTCTCCTGGTTTAGCACAAAAATCTTGCTTTTCTACCTTCCATCTTTGTCTTTTCTAATCCATCCTCCCAAGGCTGCTAGATCAGATTCCTCAATCACTGCTGAAGTTCAGCTTTCCCTGAACTTGAGCTTTTGCTCCAATCTGTAATCACCTGCCAGAGGAACCCTTCACCTGGCCATCAGCTCTACCTGAGAAGCGTAACACCATCCAGGGATATTCACATTTAGTGGGATATCTTTGGAGACAAAAGCATTTAAAGCGAGAGGAATGGAGTTATTTTCATTACAGCCATGACTGATTATTTTCTTACTTGGTACCAGACGGTTCTAAGAGCTTCAGGTTTTGAGCTCATTTAATCATCATAACACAGCGGGTATTAATTACTCCCACCCCCATTTTATAGATGAGGAAACTGAGGAACAGAGAGGTTTAGTAACTTGCCTGAGGTTATATGGCTTGTAAATAAATAGTGGAGCTCAGGTTTGAGCCCGGCAAGTTAGTCACCATGCTTTAATGGACATGATGCAATCGACTACTTTTGTAGAATGACTCGCAGTTGACTGGCCAGGGTCATTCTTGAGAGAGAGCGAGATTAAGGTTAAGGTAGTAGGTGGGCAGCAAGCCTCGGTATTGCCCCTCCTCAAATGATGACAGTCTCAGAAAACCTGACCAAGGAAGCCCTAGAATTAAATCCAACAATCTCCAGTCTCCAAAATCATCCCATGCCTTATCCATCCCTTCTAGTCACTTAAACAAAGCAAGTTGATTGATTCCTTACCTGAGTCTCCAAGGCTTTAGGGCTCAAGGGAGGATTCGGATGCTTGCTACTGAGTTCAGTTCGACAGCTACTTTCTCAAGCACACAGCGAGTGAGTGAGATGGTCCAGGCCTGGGATCTCTGACAGATACCAGGTGACAGGAAATCAGTGGCTTCTGCTACCTTGGGCTTCGCCCCAATTACTTTGGTTTAATCACACTTATCAGAGCCAGAGGATATACAAAAAAGTTTCTGCTGTACTAGGAGGTTTCACTTCTTGAAAAAGATCCCAGGGGACTGCCAGGCGTACTTTACACTGCCTTAATTAGAAGAACTTTGCAGCCCCCACCCTGTAAGCAGGTGTGGATGTTGGGTCCCCAAGGGCAAGAAGGGCTCTAGAAATTCTCCAAAGATGGGCTGGTAGGACTTTTACCTTTTTACGTTACTTTTAGGAGTGGGTAGGTAGGAAGGAGGCAGCCGCGCAGAAAGACTCAAGCATCATTAAGCCCTCACCCTTGAGGCTGTTGTAGGTATCTGTCCCCAAATATTGTCCTCATTTGACCACACTTAGGGTTCCACTGGGACCCCTTATCTCTCATGTGGCTTTTAGTAGGAATGGCCTAAAAATATATTTTGGTGCTGTAGAGTATGTCCCCAGAAGCTTGAGGCAAGAGTTCCATATTCTGGAATATCCATTGAAATAGCACTTTTTACCTCCAAGCCCACCTTTCTCTCCATCTGTCTAGTTCTCTTGTGTCCCCCTCTTTCCAGTCTGGGCTGGAGCCCACTGTGAGATCAAGTGAGGAAATGGAGGGAGCTGGTGGCCAGGAGAGTAAAACATGTGAGATATCAATCAAAGAAAGTTTTGCCCAAGATACTGCATTCCCTTCCCAACCTCTACGCTCATATGTTGGGTTTTCCATTACTTTTTAAAAATTAAAAAAAATTTATTATTGGAGTACAGTCAATTTCCATTATTTTTTAATTTCCTTGTCCATTGCTTTGTTTCATTACAGACCCAGGGTGATTGTTAGAGAATTGTTTGTCTCGTCTAAAGGGCTGAAATATGGCAGCTCTGTTGCTGAATCTGAGGTTATTTGTAACTTCTCTCTCATTCTCTCCTATTTCTCCCTCTGCCTCTCTTTCCTTTAAGATGGTCTGGAGTCAGAGGTTTAGAACCAATGGTAAAAGTCATTCTGGAGAGGCTGATTTTGGTGCTACAAACAAAAAAAAAAAGCCATCTCCCCACCGTTGGAGCAGTTCATTCACAGAACAGGCTGCCACTTGAATGGAGAACTTGCTGTCATCAAATATCCACAGGTAGAAGCCATGCGATCACCTCTCCCTGATGCTCTGGTGAGGAGGTGGGTGGAGACATAAGATCCGCCGTCTGTTTAGGATTCTGATTGTGGGTCTATGGGAACCTGCTGAAGTGCTTGGGTGCTTGGTGGTAGGGACAGTAACTACGTAGGGTCTGAGTTGTGGATGATTTTGAGGCCTGAGGTTTGAGTCCAGGATGATGGGTGATTAGGGGAGGGTGCCTTCGTTTTACCAAGTATGAAAGAGGGGTTAGAACTTGGCAAACGTGTGGCATTAATGAGGTTGGATTGGGGTTGGACAACCGGGTTTTTCATATCCTTTTCTCTGTGTAGGTTCTGTTTTTCCCAGGTCTGTCTTGGGGTGTTTGCTACTCTGGTTTTGTGGCCGGTGAGATCGTAGGTGGCTCTAAGCTTGAATTTGAAATTATATAAATAAATAAACTTTCACTTTGTCTTTGTCGACTTGGATTGATTGACTGTTCAGTGCTAGACTGTGTTGAAATCCTACTATGATTTGGATTTGTCAGGAGCACTTTATTCCATCATTTTTTTTCCCTCTCTGTAACGTTGGAGCATATTTTATTAGGTCTATCACCACGCATTTAAAATTTGTCTCTCTGAATTAAACCTCGGCATTGTCTAGTGGCCTTCCTGCTTCTTAATGACCTCTTTCTAAAAGTCTACATCCAAGTTTATCAACTGACCTTTTAATATCTGCATCATAGGTCGTTTATTTCCCCCACCTCCTAACATTCCTGTTATTTTTTTTTTAATCCTTGAGGCATTTTGCCTTTCTTATGAGAACTACATTCTATATCATAACTGTTTGTGTCCTTGTCTTAGCCATTGGTCTGTATGTCCCTGGAAAGCAGGGCTGGTTTTTCTGATTGCTGTGTTCTCGGTGGTGAGTGAGAGGCCGTGGTCCTGCTCTGGTCCTTTTGCCCACCTGGACTGGGTATCGCAACGCTACCCAGTATCAGGAAGTAAGACTATGATGTGTTCCCAACTGTTCAGCAGGGCGTTGGCACCCGGGATCATCTGGTGTGGAAGGGTTTTGGTTTCAAAGAATTGGTAAGGGAGAGGCAGAGGCGAAACGAAAAATCTTATTTTGAAAAATACTGGGTTATATATTGGCAAATCACAGTGTTGTACTTATAAAAATAATTACGACTAAGGAAAATATAAATTTGAGTACTTAAGGGCTTTGCAGTTTATGGGGTCTTCTTTCTGTTTTGAGGGACCACCTTACATTTTATAAAAAGTAACATTAGTTAAATATCTGCTTATATGCCAAGCACTGTTCATATAGCACCGTAGGATTGATTCCATTTTTAATTATGGAAACCAGAGTTCAGGAAATGGGGGAAATTGGCTACAAGTCACACAGTAAGTGATAAAATGTGATGTTTAGGAAGCAAGAAAACTTCAATTATACATTTAAAATAAAACCTATAATTTTCTAAGTGATTTTCAAGTTCCAAGCACTCACAGAAGCAGTTCGCAAATGTTTCATTTAAGGCTCACAGTAAATGCATCAGGTAGGTGTTAATGATTACCTTTTAGTGTAGGAAATTTAAAGCTCACAGAAGTTAAATACTTGTTCAGGTCCCCCAGCTTTAAATTGCAAAACTGACATTTAAACCTAGGTCTGACTTAACAGCCCTTACCATTAGGTGATGGGCCACTCACCCTTAAATATATCTGAAACCCCACGTCATCAGAACCTCACTCAGATACCAGATATTTTTCATCAGAACTTCACTCCCCCATCCCCTGTCCTCCCACCTACAGGCCTCTCTCCTTCTAGCTTTTAGCAGAAATGAAAGCCTGCGAGTTTATTTGAGTATGCTGAGTTTTTTTCTATTCCACAAGAAGCGTAGAGTAATGGGATTTGGAGTTTGGAATCTTGATTCAAATCTGGGTTCTAAATCATACTCGCTAACTACTCTGAGCTTCAGTTTTCATGTCTGTGACATGGGCCCGTTACATCCATCTCAGAGGGCGGTGGTGACAATTCAGTGAGATGATTGAAATAAGATCTCTAACACTTTGCAGGTATTCAGGCAGTGGAAGGAAATATAACATAAGGTGGCTGTTCTCAAAGTCTGATCTGGGAATCCCCTGGAGTCCTTGAGACTCTTCTAGGGAGTCTGTGACCTCAGAGCAATTTTCATGGTAACACTCAGGCCTTATCTCCCCTTTTTGCGGGTTTATAGGGGTAACATCACAGGCTACAGAATGTGAGACTGAACGTGAAAGCAGCTAAGAGAATCCAGTTGCCTTCCATTAAGTGAGAGAGAAGCGGTGGTTTCCAAACTTTGCTTCACTTTGAAATCACCTGAAATCTTAAAAAAAAAAATCCATGTCCGGCTCTCACCGCATTCTGATTTAATTAGTATGTGGTGCATTGGGGTTTATAAAATTTCCTCAAGTGATTTGAATGTGCACTAAAGTTAAATGGGGATTTGGTTGGCAGTCTGTACAAAGTTTTTTGTTAAACAAGATGAGTAAGTTCTAGAGAGCTGGTGTACAGCTGAGTATTTATAGTTAATAATACAGCATTGCGCCCCTGAAAACATGTTAAGAGGACAGATCTCACGTTAAGTGCTTTTACCAAAAAACAAAAGTAACAACAAAATCCCACAAAAGAAACAAGGAAAACTTTGGAGGTGATGTCTAGGCTAAGTACCTTGGTTATCATCGTGGTGGCATCGGGACATACGATCATATTCAATGTGTGCAGTTTTTTTTGTCTATAAACTATAAAGAAAGCTAAGAGATAAAAATAAATGAACATCAAGTAACCTAAAAAAAAAGACATTTGCAAAGCTATCTGTCAGAGCTACTCTCCACACTACATTTTTTATTTTGGAAAATGTAGTTAATAAAAATGTTACTTGTATTAATGCGTAATGAGTCTTGAATAATTCCTAAGAATGTGAAGGGGTTCTGAGACCAAAAGTTTGAGATACGTTGGTATGTTGGTCCAGTGGGTAAGACCTTGGGATCTGGGGTCAGACTACCTGTTGATACCATGCCTTTGCCACTGCAGTCTTTGTGACCTTGGGTACATGACTTACCCTCTCTGTGCTTCCACTTCCTTGCCAGTAAAATGAGTGTACTAATAAAATTTGCCTCTTAGAGTTTTTGTGCGATTAAATGAGGAATACCCCTAAAGCACTTAGCGTGGTGCCTGGAACATTGTAGTGGCTTCCCTCATATTTGTCCTCATCACTGTTGCTATTCTAGTTGTTGTAAGTGACCAGCATTGATGAGTGTAAGATTTGTGGGCCAAGCCATTCTTCCAGCCAACCCATCTTTCCACACAGCAGTGGAACAGGAGCCCCAAGGGAGAGTCTCTTGGAGAATTAGCAGGAGGTGTCTTGGACCTGGTCTCTCCATCCATGTGCTGGGCTTTCGTTCATTTCTCTGTTTGGACAGTGACAACCAACCCTACAGTGCTGTCCTTTTCTTCAGTGAATGCATGACTAACAGAGGAGTTGACACCACGGAGACTGTGTGATTTGGGGAGAGGAGGAGATGGCGCTGCCAAGAGGCACGATGTGTTTTATCAGCTACAATGTTTCCAGACCCCACTCCCTTGAGTCACTTCTCTTTGCCTCCAAGAATCGCCAGCCTCAAGATTATGTTCCTCTTGGCTTTTCCTCACAAGCATAACTCATCGCTCAATAATATTATAACACATCTTTATTCTTGCAGTGCTATTCAACAGCATTCCTCACAATAGTCACTACCGTTAACGTTTCCCCTCAAAATCGAGAAAGACAGAGAAATGACTAGTTCAATAATGCTGAAGGCCATCAGCATAATCAAAATTCCCTGTAACAGAAGAAGAAAAAAAAAGAAGTCACAGTGTTAGCACAGTAATGGCTTTCTGATGACAGAGAGGTGGTGGTGTCCAGGTAAGGACAGCCGCCCAACGTGTCTATAGTGTATCTGAGGCTTAGGGAGCAAATTCGCGGAGGCTCCTGGGAGCACGCACGCAGTCCAGCAGAGCACACCACAGCATGGAACTGCATATTGTCTTAGAGAAAGTCATCCAAAATCATCTGCTTTCTAAATTATATGTAGGAAGTAACTCCATTTCATAAATACATACAATACAAAGAAATAATATTTAAAAAGTGGTCTCTTGAAGGAGAAAGAAAAGAAGTTAAGAAAAACACAAAAAAGAAGCAAAAATAGAAAAGGAAGGGGGAGGATATAGCTCAGTGGTAGAGCACATGCTTAGCATGCGCGACATCCTGGGTTCAATCCCCGGTACCTCCATTTAAAAAAAAAAATTAAAAACAAAAAAAGAAAAGGAAAGCAAAAAGGGGAAAAAAGAAAACTATGGGCTCAGAAAAAGAGGAACATGTAAAAATAAGCCAATAGTAACTTCTTGTGTCCTTTTTGTCACCACTAAATACCTGTAAAATCTTTCTGTATTTTGACAACTAAGAGCACATATAGGGACACACACCTTGTTAATAGCCCAGAGGCTGCACACACTAGTGTTTTGCTGGAGAAAGTTTGTTAATATTAATATGGTTAGCATTCTGTTCTATGACCATATTTGTCTGCATATTTTGACTACAAGTTGAAAAGCTTTATCTTAGAGTCCCATAGTATCTCATGGTGTAGTTACCATAATGCATTTATTCTGTAGTGGCAGGAAATCATTTATTTCCTCTTTCTTCTCTTCTTTTCTTTTCTGTTTGTTTGTTTTTACCACCCTGAGCAATGCTACAATACACGTCTTGCACACACACCTGTATACATGGGTGGCTTAATTGCTGTGGGGGTAGCTACCTGGGCTAAAGGTATGTGTATCTTTCACATAAGTGAATGTTTCCGTGCTTTCCAAAATGGTAGCAGCATTTCACATTTCTACCACTGTACAAGAGCATTCTTCTCACCATTTTCCCTGTCTGTGATCATTTTTATAATTCTTTAATTTTTGCCGGTCTAGTGAATGTAAATCTTAATCCATTGCTAATTTAATTGGCACTTCCCTGACTACTAATGAATTTGAGCATCACCTGGAGTATGTTTGGCCGCTACATTTGCATTTTTGTAAGCTTCTTCCTCTTAATCTTTTGTTTCTTTTTTTGTGTGTGTGTTCTTGATGTTTTGTCACTTACGTTTTTCTCTTTGTATATAAGAACATTACAACTTGCTGTCACCTACTTTAAAACTATTTTTCCAATTCTTTTACCATACCAGAGTTTTTACGTAAATATGTGTATTTTACCCCATTTTTGCTTCCTAGACCAGGTATATTCGACATCTTCATCACCCCAGTAAGTTCTCCAGTGTCCCTTCTTGGTGGATCCTCCTGCTCCCTCCAGAAGGAACCACGATTCTGACTCTTAACACCCTTTATTAAATATGCATGCTAATTTTTGTATCTGACTTTGTTTGTTGAGTATGATGGGTTGACTTTCACCCATGTTGCTGCATACCTCAGTATTCTGAATACTCTGAATAATCACAGTTTGTTCAGCCACTGTGTTATTGACAGACATTTGACTTGTTTCAAGCTTTTAACTGTTACGACTAGATTTGCTATAAACATTCTTGTATGTATTGCTGAGACATAAAATAGGTCTATATTTAATTTTGTTAAAAGCTACCCAATAGTTTTCCAAGGTGACTGAACCACGTTACACTCCCACCAAATTGTCTAAGAATTCCGGTTACTTCCCATTCCTGTCAACACTTGATTTTTCCTGTTCTTTTGATTAAAGATATTCTGGTGTGCATGAGTGGTATCTTAATTGTGATTTTGATTTGCAGCTCTTTGGTAACTAATGATATTGAGCACATACTTAACATGCTCACTAGCTACTGGTGTATCTTTCTTTGTGAAGTGCTTGTTCAAGTCTTACTCATTTATTTTTTGGTCTTTTTATTACTGATTTTCAGGAGTACTGACTGTATTCTGGATATGGGTCCTCTGACAGATACATATATATATTGAGATTGTCTCCCATTCTGTGGCTTGCAGTTTCACTTACTTTTTAAAAAATTGAGATGTAATTGACATAGAACACTGTGTAAGTTTAAGGTGTACAACATGTTGATTTGATACATTTCTATAGTACAATATAATTATCATAGTGTTTGTTAGCTAACCTTCTGTCATGTCACATAATTATCATTTCTTTTTTTGTAATGAGAACATTTGAGATCTAATCTCTTAGCAACATTGAAGTACTGTTAACAGTAATCACGATGCTGTGCTTTAGATATCCAGAACTTCTTCATCTTCTAAATGTGAGTTTATACCCTTTGACTAACGTCTCCCTTAATCCCCCTCCTCCAGCCCCTGGTAACCACCATTCTACTCTGTTTCTTTGAATTTGGCTTTTTTAGATTCCATATATGGTGATATCATACAGTATTTGTCTTTCAATATCTGACTTATCTCACTTAGCATAACATCCTCAAGGTCCTTCCATGTTGATGCAAATGGTAGGATTTCTGTCTTTCTCACGGCTAAATAATACTCCATTGTGTGTGTGTGTATATATATATATGTATGTGTGTGTATATATATATATATACATATTTTCTTTATCCATTCATACATCACTGGGCACTTAGGTTGTTTCTAGGTCTTGGCTATTGTAAATATGCTGCAGTGGTCATGAGGGTACACATATATTTTTGAATTAGTGTTTTAGTTTACTTTGGAGAAACACCAGAGTAGAATTGCTGGATCATGTGGTAGTTCTATTTTTAATTTTTGAGCAGCCTCCATACTGTATTCCATAGTGGTGGTGCTAATTTACATTCCTACTAACAGTGTGCAAAGTTTCCCTTTTCTTCACTTTCTCACCAACACTTGTTATTTCTTATCTTTTTGATAATAGCCATTCTGACAGGTCTGAGGTGATATCTCATTGTGGTTTTGATTTGCATTTTCCTCATGATTGAGCATCTTTTCATGTACCTGTTGGCCTTTTGTATGTCCTCTTTGGAAACAAATGTCTACTCAGATTCTCCGCCCATTTTTCAATTGTATTTTTGCTGTTTTTGCTGTTGAGTTGTATGACTTTTCAAAAAATATAATTTAGATATCAGCCCTGTATCAGACATACTATTTTGTCCTATTCCACAGGTTGACTTTGTATCTTGTGGATGGTTTCCTTTGCTGTCCAGAAGCTTTTTAGTTCGATATTGTTCCACTTGTTTATTTTTGCTTCTGTTGCCTTTGCTTTTGATGTCAAATCCAAAAAATCATTGCCAATACCAATGTGAAATAGCTTACTACCTGTATTTCCCTCTAGGAGTTTTATGGTTTTAGGTCCTACATTCAAGTCTTTAATCCATTTTGAGTTTATTTTGGTGTATGATGTAAGATAGTGGTCCAATTTTATTCTTTTGCTTATGGCTGTCTGGTTTTTCGCAACACCATTTATAGAAGAGATTGGCCTTTCCGTATTGTAGATTCTTGATTCCTTTGCCATAAATTAATTGACCGTATATACATGGGTTTATTTTGGGGCTGTCTGTTCTGTTCCATTGATCCATCTGTCCATTTTTATGCCAATACCATACTGTTTTGATGACTGTAGCTTTGTAATATGGTTTGAAATCAGAAAGTATGTGTTTTTCCTTCTCAAGATTGCTTTGGCTATTTGTGGTCTTCTGTGGTGCCATACAGATTTTAGGATTTTTTTTCTGTATTTTGAAAAATGCCTGTAGAATTTTGGTAGGGATTGCATTGGTTTGCTCTGGGTAATATGGACATTTTAACAATATTAATTCTTCTAATCCATGGGTAGGGGCTGTCTTTCCATTTCTTTGTGTCTTCTTCAATTTCTTTAATCAGTGTCATAGTTTTCAGTGTGCCAATCTTTCACCTCCTTGGTCAGATTTATTCTCGTGTACTTTATGTTTTCTGGTGAAATTTTAAATGGGATTGTTTCCTTAATTTTTCTTTCTGATGGTTTGTTATTATTGTGTAGAAATGCAGCTGATTTGTTTATTGATTTTCTGTCCTGCAACTTTACTAAATTCGTTTATATGTTTTAAAAGTTTTTCTGGTGGAGTATTTAGGGTTTTCTCTATATAATATCATGTCATCTGCAAACGGACAGTTTTACCTCTTCCTTTCTGATTTAGATGCCTTTCTTCCTTTCTCTCACCCTCCCTCCCTCCCTCCTTTCCTTCCTTCCTTTCTTCTTTTCCCTTCCCTTCCCTTTCCTTCCCTTTCCTTTTTACTTTCTAATTGTTCTGGTTTTATTGCATAGGACATACACTGTATGACTTTAGCCTTCAGTATTAATCTGTAATTGTTTTATTTATGAATATATAGTCATTTTTGTTAGTATGTGCTATAAAAATATATTTTCTGTTGTTGTCAGGTGTAGTAGACTAAATATATCTATTAGCTCTAGTTTCTTATTTTTGATGATATCATAAGCATTCAGACCAAACTTTAAAGTTCTTCAAACATTTTCCTCCTTCTCAGGTAAAACTAAAGCCCCTAGCAAACACAGATAGCAAAAACACCATTTGCTCCCTTTTCTACTTGTATGTTAATGTTGTCTGACATTTTGAATACTTTATTTTTAAGCCCAGTATGTATTATTATTACTGTGTTATACAAGCAGTATTCGCTAGTATTTGTCCACATGTTCTTCACTGCATCTCACTGTGCTATCATTTCCCTTCTATTTGGGGTTCATCTTTTATTATTCTTTTAATATGGGTCTATAGGAGGCAGACTGAGTTTTTTCATCTCTGAAAATTCTTCATTTCGCCTTCATCCTTGTGAGATAGTTTAATGGACATCTGTAGGTTATTGGTTGGCAGTTGTTTTATTCAGTACATTGAAGATGTAGTTCTACTGTCTTCTGTTTTTTTATTGTTGCTTTTTGGAAGTGAGCTGTTAATCCAATTGCTTCAACTTTTTTCTTTTTAATTTTCATAGTCTTTAATTCTTTTTGGTTTTAGTTACAATTACTGAGAATTGAGAAATGAAACCATGATTTGAAAAATACCTGTACTTTGACCCACCAAATTGATAAAGTGCACCAAAGCATGGTGTGTAAGACGACTATTTAAGTTCAAGGTTTTAAAGTAAGGTTTTTCAGAGCCTTATTATTATTCAGGATAAGACCACAGAGAACTGTTTCAAAGGCAATTTTATGTTAATTCATGTTTTCCAAAAATAAGACCGTTGACTGTCTCAGCAACTATTCTTCTTTGCTAATTTAACAAGTTCCTTCCTAGACTACTGTTACTCTCCCCTAAAGCCACCTTATGACTAACTCCAGCTGGGAAACCCTATTAATACACTTCCCTGTTTTCCCCTATTGAGCCTGACACTCTGTGCTCTCTCTTGCTTAGCAAATCCAATACATTCAGTTTTTAATTGTCATAGATTTTCCTAGTGGTCTTTGAAGGTGCCAGGCAGTCATGGAGGCCCCAGAGAGGTCTAGCCAGAACCCTCACCACCATGATCCTGGTCTTTTGATTCATCTAGGGCCTCTTCCACGGGATCCCTGTGGTCCTCCCTGTCGGGTGTGCACGGCCGTGTTGGGGAGGTGAGTATAGCTCTGCTCATTGATCAGGGTTTATTTATTTGCCCCAGGAATCTGGTCTCCCAGGACTTTTTCATTACCTCTTCAGATTTGCTGTTTTCTTTTTCCTTAGTGAAGGTCTGCCAAAGCTTTGCCACTAACCATCCTGGCTGCCTATCTGCCTTCTATCTGTATTTTTGTGTTTCTATGAGAATAAGTGACAGGATAGGAGTCATTACAGATTTTGTAATTCTGTCTTCTTAGCCAGCCACAGGGACTAATAAATAAACGATCTCTTTGACCAAAATCCATTCTGGGACCAACTGTCTTGGTTTACTCATTAAAATCTCCTAACAACTTTTTAAAGTCTTGTCTGTATATGAGAAATTTCTGTTGGAGAGATTCTTTTTCACATTTTTCACCTGTCAGAAGCAGCTGATTCCTTATGTCAGCAGGCAGGGGTAGATTTTCCATAGTTCTCACTCTTCCTAACATCTTCTCACTTCCTGCTTAGTCGTTGACTAAGTCCTCAGAAATTAATTCTGTGTTATGTTTCAGTGCATGATTTGACCCCCGTGCTGATCATACTGATTATTTAATAAACTTGTCAGTATTGTCCGCTAGCAGATATGGACTGCTTTCCCTTGACAACTGTTTATTGTTCTTGGTCACCTTGGGCAGGAGACTAGTTATTTTGGAAACATCATCTGAGAAAGAGTACACTTGAGCCTTGTTAGGTAAGATCTTACTAAAACCACCACCACTGCCATGTACTTATTACTGGCCTTAAGCTGCAGTCCTCTAGAAATTCTCCAGAAGTAAGTGGTCCAAAAGATAGGAGAGCTGACAGATAAGGTGGCCCAAGCTCCACAGAGTTAGCAACTAAACTGGTTCCACTCAAGACTATTGGAACCTAGCTACCCTCCCTCAAAATGACAGATGCCATTGATGGCCGTGTGCTTATCCTCTTGGCCGTTTTCTCCCCTCTGTGGTACTTCAAGGTGGTAGATTATTGGTAGACGACCATACTAACGTGGTACCACCAAGACAGTCTTCCTTGAAAATTAGTATTGTTGTATTTCTTCATTCACTCTTGCTGACAATAAAGGACAAACTCCTAGGAAGACACAAACTATTGAAATCCCAAAGAAATAGAGAATCTCAATATACATATAACAAGTAATTTTATAACTTCCTACAACGAAAAACTCAGGCCAAGATGACTTCACGGGTGAATTCTTCCAAATTTTTATAGAAAATTTAATACCATTACTTCACAAAATCTCCCAAAAAGTCTAAGAGGAAAGCATATTTCCCACTTCATTCTGTAAAGCCAGTATTAACCAGACACAAAAATCAAAGACATCACAAAAAAGGACAACTACAGACCAACATCCCTTATAAATATGTACGCAAAAATCTTTAACAAAATACTAGAAAACTGAATCCAACAACATTTAAAAGGGATTATGCACCATGACCAAGTGGGATTTAACCCAGAAATGTAAGGTTTATTTAAGATTAAAAAAAACAGTGAAATATACCATATATCAATAGAATAAGGATAAAAAATATGATTATCTCAATTAATATAAAAAAAGGGTTTAAAGTCTCATAGTACCAGAAAGTATGGAAATGCTAAAACAGACAGACTGCTCCCCTCCCCCCACAACATACAGAGGTAAGTCAAAGGACCACAGGAGCCAACTAAAAGAGTTCCCAATGGCTACAACTGAACAATTTACACAACAAAATAGTTTTAGATTCCAACCCAAAGTGTAAAATAAATACCTATAAATCTGTACTGTAATAAATACACGATTGAATACATAAGTGTATAAGTAAGTAATTAAGTAGAAGGAGAATAGGCAGATCTCCTATTTAGAAGAATTTCAAATAATTTACGTGGATACTCTATCCTCAAGGAGTTGGAGCCTGACTCCCTACTCCTTAACTGTTGGTTACACATAGTGACTTCATACAGACTATGATACAGAATGGGGTGGGGGTAGAAACAATAACTTAAGATACAGATATATTCAGTTTATGAAAATTTGTTAAACTGTGCACTTAACTCATAGTTTTAAAAGTTAAAAAAAAATATGTCGAACACCATCTTTCTGTAGACGCCCTCCTACAAAGGCTTCCAGATAAGCATAAACCCATACCCTGGAGGTCCCTGTCATCCTTCCTTCCAATTATTATCCCTCGGATGATAACTCCACTATTCTAATTGGCTTTTTTTTTTTCTTTAAAGATAATCCATCTTTTTCCACTGGCTGTTTTAAACTTTTCTTTATCTTTTTCTTTTCTACATTTTCCTTATAATGTGTCAAGGTGTCTGGGATTCACTGGGCTTCTTGCATATGTGGTCTCATGCTTTTCATTGGTTTAAAAATCTATCATTTTCTCTTTCTCCTTCTCTCTGTAAATATTGTAGACTTTTTCACTGTATGTTTTATATCTCTTATTCTCACTTCTGTATTCCTTGTCTCCATGAAATATGATTCATTCTGATCTATCCAGTGTGTAGTATCAAATATGGCACCAAATTTGGTAGGAGTTTCTTGAGATTGTTGGACGTTCTTCCCTCCAGATAGCCTTTGGTTTTGCTTTTGTTGGGTGCTAAGTACACCAAATATCAAGACCAAATTCAGGCTCGACCATTCTTGGCTCACCCAGTTTATGTTACCAAATGTTAACACCCCAGTTGGGGTGGAGGGTGGGAGGAGGTTGTCATGGGGTCTGATATGGGGCCATGATTTCTCAAGGACTTCTCTCTTTCTTTTTTCACTCTGTTCAGCAAGCTGCCTCTGCTGTTATGAGGCAGAGTACTTTGTCTTTTTGTCCTTATCTGAAGAGTGCAGTAATCTTTCAACAACCCAGTGCAGTGTTGGGAATGTCTTTTCTAGGTCTTTCTACCTTGAGTGGACTCTGGGCTGTGGCTTCTTTTTTCTTCATTACCCATAAGCTGGGAGTCGGATTCCAAAAGGGCAACACTGACAAATGGCCTCAAGGCATAAGCAGCTTTGTTGCTCCTTGGCAGTCCATTGACAGATTCTAGGTTAGGCTTTCTTGTAACAATTGATCTAGGAGTTCCAGTTGACTTTTCAGCTCTTCAGTGCTTTTAAGGTGTTAAAAAATTTTTTAACGTAGTTTTTTTTATTATTGAAATATATTTGACTTACAGTCAAATGAGTCTCTGGTGTACAGCATAGTGATTCAGTTATACATATATTCTTTTTCATATTCTTTATCATTATAGATTATTACAAGATATTGACTATAGTTCTCTGTGCTAAACAGTAGGACCTTGTTGTTTATCTGTTTTATATATAGTAGTTTGTATCTGCAAATCCCAAACTCTTAATTTATCTTCCCCACCACCCCGCATCCCCCTGGTAACCATAAGTTTGTTTTCTATGTCTGTGAGTCTGTTTCTGTTTTGTAGATAAGTTCATTTGTGCCATTTTTTATGTGACATTTTGCTTTGTTTTCTCAGGAGGGTTGCTCCAAATAGCTCACTTTACAATTACCAGTCTATCTTCTCTTCTGCTCAGCTTTCTATAGTCCTGGTACACCCAAATACTCCATATTTCTTAGAATGTGCCATATGAAATATTTTTCTTCTATTAAGACCTTGTTTTCCTTAGGTGATTAGTTTTCAGCTTTCTCAGTAATTTTTGATGGGTCTTGTTGGCTAACTGTTTCCTCTCCATGTAGATTCATATCTTATACATTCCTTTATGCTCATTTTAGTGGTATTTTGGAAAGAGCAGAAATAAGTGCATATTTTCAATCTACCATGTTTTATCAAAAGTCCAGTCTAAATATTAAAATGAAAACCAAAACCATAAAAATACTCCACACATGATTCTAATGTACATCTGGGGCTTTGAACCATTACCATACTGCTATTCCTGCATTTTTCTTTTAGTATATCACTGTCTTCTGATTATATTTACCGGTGTGCATGTTTCATCTCCACTACTCATCTGTGAATTCCTAAAAGTGGGGGTTATAATGTATTTATTTTTCAGTTTCACAATGCCTGATGTAATGTCTGTCAGGTACTGTGATTTCTGTAAATGTTTGTGAATAAAAGGAAATACATGTGTCTGCAGCATTATTTGGATGGTACTGATTGGGTGCTAGTAAGTCTTCATGATTACACCTGTTACTCCTCGCCCCCCAAATGCAGGATACTTACAATGAATAGGGTGGTAATTGCCTGACACTGACTGGCTTCTTCAGAATAGCCACAAAAGTAGTGCTGATCTAGAATGAAACCAAATGTGAGGAGAATGATTCCAGCTGTTGCTGCCAGGGCACTGAGACAGTTCATGGTTCGACTCATCGTCACCTGAAAGAAAATAAGAACATAAGGCAGTGACTCAGCCCCGCTGTGGAAGCAGTGGAAGGTGGGGAGACTGGACAGCAGGATTGTAGTCCCAATACTGCAGGGCCTCGAAGCAGCTGTGTGAGCTGTGTGATCTTATATGAGTCACTTTACCTCCCTGGGCTTCAGGTCCTCATCCACAGAAATGAGAAGATCCAGTGAATTTATTAACCCTTCCATTCCCCGCCCTGCCGCTGTGTCTAAATTAGCTCTCATTTAAATGTGGGTGGTGGGTGGGGCGCACTCTGGACAAAAGAGATGCTTAGGGGTTGGCTACGTTACATTGTGTTTTGATGCTCTGGTAAAAAGTCACGATCTGTTTATATTTTTGTTTCATGACTCTGCTTAACTAAGCATTGTATTTCTTTGCAATTTTTATTTCTTCCTAAAACCACAAACCCACAGGAGATGTCTTTTTCTGAAAATAATTTGTTGGCCTATTAATGAATAGTGAATGTCTTTGATTCTTTGAGCAAAGTAAAAATATTCTGCTTATAACTCACTGGTAAGTTAAAAATTTGCGTTCATTAATGCTGTATTACTTATTTTGAGCTTCTGCTTACAAGGTGGAATTAGGTTGTCTACACAGCATGCCTATCATACGAGTCAAACCAGTGCCTGCCAAAGTGTCTGGCATGCAGTAGGTACCAAAAATACAGAAAGAATGAAAGGGAGTTCCTGGAATACTGAGACCGAGTCTACCAACTGGATGACTAACTTGGACAAGTCATTTATTCTCTGCCACAGTGTCTAAGAATTAAACTAGATGACTCTTCTGGCACTAAAGCTTTAAATTCTATGAGAAAAAGAAGCAAATGCTATTGGTTGGTATCAGTACTTGACAGTGGAATTAGGGTGGCTTACTGATTTTCCAAATTCACGTTCAAGGCTAGAATGCAGTATTTCAAAGTTATGCATTTTTAGTAGAGGGACCATATAACTCACCAGAGTTTCTGTGGTTTTTCTTTCCAGTGCAACTAGAAAAGCTCCAGAATTAATGAACTGTTAAGAAAAATAATTATCTTAGTGACGGACATGGTTAGCTGATGTTGAACAATTTCTCACAGATTAGACCTCTACCTGCTTTCTTTCCCACACCCTTCTTCCAAGTTCACATCATCCTCCGGACAGTGAGCAGGGTGAGATGCCTTGTATGACTGTCCACAAATGCACCATGGACAAAATTCTGGACCTGAAATTTGCTTTAGTCTTACTTATTTATTCGGACATGAGAATTTTGTTTTCAACCTTAGTGGGCTTTAGTTTTCTCATCCATCTTCCTTTTACAGCTACTGTGAGAAATCACAGCGTCAAAGCTACTCAGCTTTTGATATCCTGAGAAACTAGTGTCAAGTCAGCTTACAACCAGTAAGGTTGGATTCCATCGTTCTTGAAAGAAACCTCCTTCACACCCACCTGCGGTCCATTGTGTTCTCTTGGGTGAGAACATCGGTGGAGCTGCGGCAAGTATGCTGGAAACTGGAAAAAATCCCAGTAAGGTTCATGGAGGCGAATTATACTTGGTAGCACCATTGTGTAGTAGAAACTTCCAATGTGATTACAACACATCCATTTTAAAATTTCTAGTCCTTTGACTGGCATTTTTTCAGCTTCATCCCTCCACTCTCACTCTGTGTGCTGAACTCAAGAGTTCTCAGAAGAGAAGATGTTCTCCCACCCCTTCAGCCCTTTGCCCATGTTTTCTCCTTTGGCATCAGCAAGACATCCCTCCCCCTTACACCCAGATCTTCCCCCTCTCTTCCTCTGTGTGTGTCCTCACCTGGTTAACCATGCCTCCTTTAAGACTCAGTCAAGCTGGAAATGTGTCTGGGGAACCTCACCTCTGTGCTGTGGCATCTTCCTGTAGAGGTAGCTGTGTGTCCCTCTGTCACCACTCACCACACCACATGGTAACTGTCTAATATTCTCAGCTGAGACCGTGAGACCAGGGACTGCCCTTCTCTGAATCCCCACACGCTGCCCTTTCTCTGCTCTGAGTCTGATTCTCCGATACTAAAACAGATGCTAAAACAATGTTTATTGAATGTGATTAAGTAAGTGCTTCTGTGCAGCTCAGAAGTACATCTAAGAAGCCTTCCCTGCTTCTTCACTTCTTAAAGAGTAAACTGATCCTTCATCTCTGCGTATATAAGCACTTTCTGCACCTCTGTGATATCATGTATCGATTACCTTGAAACGACCTGTTTGCATATTTTCTTTCTTGCTAGACTTGAGAGCCCTTTGAAGGAAGGGCTCATGCAGTATTATTCTCCTTTGTTTGTTTTTCTCACCAGTTTTATTGAGATACAATTAACATGGAGCATTGGATAAGTTTAGGGTGTAGAGCATAACGATATGACTTACATATGTCGTGAAATGAGTACCACAATAAAGTAGTAAACATTCATCCATCATCACACATAGGTACAAAAAGAAAAAAGGAAAAAGAAAGCAAAACAAGAAAAAATTTTTTTTCCTTGGGATGAGGACTCTTAGGATCTACACTCTTAAAAGATTTCCTGTTATCACTGCAGTGCTGTTAACTACAGCATCATGTCATACATTGCATTTTTAGTACATAATTTATCTTATAACTGGAAGTTTGTGCCTTTTGACCACCTTCATCCAGTTCCCTCCCACCCCTTGTAATGACAAATCGGATCTCTTTTTTAGATTCCACATGTAAGTGGCATCATATGGTATTTGTCTTTCTCTGTCTGACTTATTTCGCTTTGCATAATACCCTCAGGTTTCATTCATGTTGTCACAAGTGGCAGGATTTCCTCATTTTTTAATGAATGAGGAATATGTATCTATATATATATCTCACAGCTTCTTCATTCATTTGTCCACTGATGGATTGTTGTTTCCATGTCTTGGCTATTATAAATAATTCTGCCATAAACATGGGAGTTCAGATATCTCTTTGACATAGTTTTTTTGGTTTCTTTTGGATATATTCCCAGAAGTGGAATTTCTGGATCATATGGTAATTGTATTTTTAATATTTTGTGGTAACTCTATACTGTTTTCCACAGTGAGGGCCCATGTATTAGTAACCTTTGGAGCCTCATTGCCTTTCTCTGTGTATCTGGCTTATAATAGATAGTCACTCATTTCGAATGAAATGAATGGACAATAATGTAAAATCTCAAAGAAAGATTCCCAAAGGAACCTCAAGACCCAATGATTGAATACAAGCAACTCTGATGAATTAAATTCATTAGAAATAACTTCAACAAGGTAGAATTTTAATTTTTCAAAGCATGTCATACAACTGAATGTAGCTCATTTCATTATTAAGAACTCCCTAATATCCCTGTTGGCACGGCTTCAGATTGAACTTGAGTGACTCTACTCACCAGAACGGAGCTCCAGAATGGATATCCTGAAACAAATATGAAGGGGAACCTTGGGTATGGGTTTTCAAAGGTGAAAAGTAAAATGATTCCAAAAGAAAAGTTCATCAGTCCGAACAGGATCTGGATAGTCTGTAAACAGAGGAAAAAGTCATGGTGAGGAAAAAGCAAAATGGTGGGTTTCCTTTTTGAAAATCTAGATCTCCTTTTGGTTAAAAGGATCTGGCAGTTTACTCTATTTTATAAAAAAGGGAAGGATAGTAGAAACTTCTTTATGATGACAGTAGAAGCTTCTACAGGTAGTTTCTTGACCCCTTTACCTGGTATTTGGTCATAGGTAAAATGTTCTAAATCATTGTACCTGGAAATGTAATCCATGGACTGGCAGCGTTAGCATCACCTGGGAATTAGAAATGCGAACTACCAGGCCCCGTCCTGTACTTACTTCGTAGGATCTCCAGGGTGAGGCTGAGAAGTCTGTGTCTTAAACTCTCCAAGCGTCAGGGAAATACAAATGAAAACCACAACTCGCATCTGTTAGAACGGCTATCCTCAAAAAGACGAGCTAGCAAGTGCTAGTGGTGATGTGCAGAAAAGGGGGCATCATTGGTGGGAATGTATCAGTATGGAAAACAGTATGGAGATTCCTCAAAAAATGAAAAATAATACAACCACATGACTCAGCGACCCCACTTGTGAGTACATATCCGAAAGAAATGCAGTCGTTATTTCAGAGAGGCATCTGTGCTCTCATGTTCATGGCAGCATTATTCATCATAGGCAAGACATGGAAGCATTCTAAGTGTCCATTGACAGATGAATGGATGAAGAAGATGTGGTGTATATATAATGGAAAATTTTTCAGTTGTAAAAAAGAAGGAAATACTGTCGTTTACAGCAACCTGGATGGACCCTGTGGGCATTATGCTAAGTGAAATAAGTCAAAAAGGAAAGACATGTACTGTATGATCTTTCTAAAATCACTGAACTCACAGAAATGGAGAGCAGAATGGTGGTTGCCAGGGACTGAGGGGCGGGGGACACAGGGAGATGCTGGTCAAAGGGTGCAAACCTCCAGTTACAGGTTCTGGGATCTCAGGTACAGCAAACAACAGCACAGTAATTATGTGAGGTGAAGGATGTGATAACTAACCTTATTGTGGTAAACATTTCGCAGTTTATACATGTATCAGATCATCACATTGTACGCCTTAAACTTACACAGTGTTTAATGTCAATAATATCTCAACTAAAGCTGGAAGACAAAGCCCTCCAGGTCTTTCGCATATACATGGTTTGAGAAACACTGAATTCCAAATCATCGTTCCAGCCTGGCCTCAAGCAGAAGTGAACTGTTAGAAAATCCTTCTGTGGACAACCAGTCCTCTGAGCCCGTGGAGGTACTGTCACCTCCCTGGACCCAGAGCACTCCCCGTCTTTTCTACTTTTTGTCTGTTTTTTCTCCCCTTGCCACACTCGTGATGCCCTACGGCACCCAGCCATGGTTCGACGACTGCTAGGGAAGGTTGATGAGAATGACGTGAACGGTGTTACATGATGTGTGAGTCTGTGTCCCCGCCTTCTGTTATTGTCAGTCCACCTTCTCAGTCATTCTTACTTGTTCCCATAGCAGCGGTCCCCTTTAAGTAGGTGAGTCGTAAATGATACCATTTCCCTCCACTCCAGACCCACGTTGTCAGCTCCCGTCAGACACCCCCGCTTGACTGTCCCGCTACCACCTTGTATTCAGTATGCGCAACAAGTTCGCTTTTCTCCCTTTAAACCTTGCCTTCTTTCTACCTTCTCTGTCTTCACTTTTAGCTCCATCTTTTTCTTAGGCTTGAAGCCTTAAGGTCAACTTCTGTCCTTCTAATGTCCTTTGATCCCCAACAATAAAAAAGTAGTAAAGCTTTCCTCTTCCCTTTCCTTGCAAAATCATAAATGTTTGGCTTTTTTTTCCTTTCATTTTCTCCATTGTGACCAATGCTGGGGCACTTGTTTCATGCGCCCTGAGCCCCTCCCGTGTGTCAGTACAGATGAACAAGTGTTCCCGGCCTTTCTCCAGCTACAGTTGACAAGTTTCAAAGAAGCTGGATGAGGAGAGCCCAGCCCCTTGTCTTCCCTTCTTGAGAGAGTTCTCAAGGCGAGCGCACATTCTCTTCCGCTTCTTGGTGCCCTAAACCTTCTAGGAACAAATACCGCTCTTGTAATGGGGAAGCCTGATAGTTGGGGAGTACATTCAACTCAGTAGCCACTACCCATTCATCTAAACGGTTACAATTGCCTTCTGACTGGCCTTTCTGCACCAGCCTCCTTAGTCTCTATTCCAGCGTTGTGCCAGGGCTGAAGTAAGACTGCAAAACAGAACTTCCATCCAACGTTGTTTGAAACATAGCTCCCCCATCTAGTGGTCATCAATTTCACTCAGAGAAGTGTGCAAGAAATGATTTCTAGCCCCCGACCCCTTCAGAATTGCAGTTCAGTTCGTTTGGAACGAGGCCTGAGGACTTGATACGTATTTTATAAAGCTCCTTAGGTCATTTTATTGACTTTACAGATCAGAAACTACTTGTCTCCATTCTGAAACCTAAGTAAGGAAGGCATGTAGGATTCTTGGCAATCAGGCCTCCAAAATACCTTCCTGTTTTTTCCCCCCACCCTTTTGTATTTTTTTGTATTTATTGACATCATGGTGAAATATATGTAAAATTTACCAAAGTTACCATTTTATTTAAATTAACAAGCTTTATTTTTAAAAGGGGTTTTAGGCTCACAGGAAAGTACAGAGGATTTCCATATGTCCCCTGCCACATTCCTTCATATCCTCCCCCAACTCTCAGCAGCCCCTGCCAGAGGGAGGGGTATATGTGTTACAACTTGTGAACGAGCACCGACACATCATTGTCAACCAAAGTCCATAGTTTACACTAGTCTCCACTCTTTGTTTTGTATTCTGTGGGTTTTGGCAAATGTAAAATGACATGTATCCACCATTATAGTATTGTACAGAATAGTTTTCTGCTGTAAAATATCCTCTTTTCTCCACCTAATGTATCCCACCTTCCCCCCTTCATCTCCTGGAAACCACTTATCTTTTTATTGTCTCTATATTTCGGCTTTTCCAGAATGCCATATACTTGGAATCAAGTGGTTGGTAGCCTTTACAAGCTGGCTTCCTTCACTGAGCCATGTGTGTCTAAGTGTCCCCCATGTGCCCTCACGGCTTGATGGCTCATTTCTTTTAGGGCTGAGTAATTTCTTTTAGTGGATGTACCACGGTTGATTTAATCAATCCTGTTTGTTTCTTATTTTGTATTTTTTAATCCTCTTGCACCTTTTAAGCCTAGTTTACTTTCTGCCAGCTCTCCTTTGCCGTTCCCAAGCCATGCTGCTGTGAACTCTTGTTCATGGTTCTTTCTTCATCTAGAACATTGCACCTCCCTCCACTCCCTCGTTAAATTCCATCTCTTCTTCAGTGTTCAGACTTGCCATGATGCTGTGTCATCCCTTTTAGCAGGAAGTAACTGTTTCCTCTCTGGTTTCTGCCACCCCATCACCACCACTATCTGTGGCTGTTAGTAGATACTGCATTGAGATGTAGTTATTAATATTTTCATTTCATTGATTTTAAATTATATGTTTACTCTCCTCAGTGAGAGAAACTAGATTGTATTTATTTCTCTAACCCCCCTAGTGGTTAACATAGTTTCTTGCACATGGTTCAATACATATTGGTTAAAATATTTTGCACTCTTTAGCAGAAGTTTGCCTACCATAATATTTGAATAGATGCTAACGCAGTTTAGACTGATGGCCCTGTTCTGCATGTCAGTGGGCCATCTTTCTCTATAAATCCATTTTTTTTTCCTGAAAAAAAATTTCTTTCTGTTTTCCATTCTCAGAGGCTGGAGATAAAAAGGATAGATATTTTCTAAGATATGGGTAGTATTATAGCCTCAAACATACCTGGAATTCTGACATTGTCTGAAAGGAAGATTGGTAAATAAAATATAATTAATATTAATGAAGTGGATAGTTGGATGAATGGGTAGATGAGGAGTTATGGTACTAAGAGGAGTTTCTGTAAAAGCCCCACACAGAAAAATACCATATCATGTCAAACTGAAGTCTGATTTTTCATTGGGAAAATAAAAAACCATAGAACTCAGTAACCCAGGGTGTAGAATTTGGTCTGTTGACTTTTATTTGGTTTTCTCTTTCCTTTCTTTTTTCCTGAACTTGACTGGAAAAAATCTTATAGATGGTTAGTTTGACGATTCTTACTTTGATGGTCACTTTTAAGAGCCTAGGGACCTTGGCTTATTCATTTAATATTTTCCTTTCCATAGAAGCATGTAAATCGTTGATATAGAAATGTGATACACACTTCCTGAATTGAATGGGAATAAAAGTTGGAACTACCTTAAAACATTGTGCTTTAAAATCCAAGAAGTCTGACAGCCTTCCTTCAATCCTTTCTATCTCCTTCCCCTTAGGCTCAAAATGCTAGTTTTCCCTTCTAAGGTGATCCACACCCACCCTAATCTCCTTATCAAATGGCCACTTGGCCACACTTTTCGTGTTGTCTTCCCAACACTCTCAGTTTTTGCAATATGGATAGGCTGAGAATTTTCCAAATCTTTTAGATCTGGTTACCTTTTGCTTAATATTCAAGTCATTCCTCTCCTTGCATTTTACTGTAAGCAGTCAGGAAGAGCCAAGCCACTCCTTTGACACTTTACTCAATATCACTACTTACCAGAGAATTGCACATCAAAACTACAATGAGGTATCACTTCATGCAAGTCAGAATGGCCATAATTTAAAAAACCCACAAACGATAAATGCTGGAGAGAGTGTGGAGAAAAGGGAGCCCTCCTACACAGTTGGTAGGAAGGTAGCTTGGTGTAACCATTATGGAAAACAGTATAGAGATTCCCTAAAAAACTAAAAATAGACATCATATGATCCAGCAATCCCACTCCTGGGCTTATATCTGGATGAAACTCTAATTCAAAAAGATGCATGCTCCCAGTGTTCATAGTAGCACTATTTACAATAGCCAAGACATGAAAGTAACCTAAATGTTCATCAACAGATGACTGGATAAAGAAGATGTGGTGTATACACACACAGACACAGACACACAGACACACACACACACACACACATACACACACACACACACAATGAAACACAACTTAGCTATAAAAAAGAATAAAGTAATGCCATCAGCAGCAACATGGATGGACCCAGAGATCATCATTTTAAGTGAAGTGATCCAGAAAGAGAAAGAAAAATACAATATGATATCACTCATATATGGAATGTAAATAAATGACACAAATGAAATTATTTATAAAACAGAAACAGACTCACATACATAGAAAACAAACTTAAGGTTACCAGGAGGGAAAGGAGAGAGGAGTAGAGGGGATAAGTTGGGAGCTCTGAATTAGTAGATACTAACTACTATAAATAAGAAATATAAACAACAAGGTCTTACGATTTAGCATAGAGAACTATATTCAATACCTTGTAATAGCCTATAATGAAAAAGAATATGAAAAGAATAAATATATGTATGTAACTGAATCACTATGCTATACACCAGAAATTAACACAACATATAGACTGACTATATTTCAATTAAAAAAAAAGTCTTCTAGCCTCTACCCATTACCCAGTTCCAAAGATGTTTCTACAGTTTTAGGTATTTGTTATAGAAGCACCTCAGTTCTTGCCAATTTCTGCTGTCTTGATCAGTTCAGATTGCTATAACAAAGTGCCATAGACTTGTAAACAACAGAACTTTATTTCTCACAGTTCTGGAGGCTGGAAGTCTGAGATCAGAGCATCAGCACGGTCAGATTTTGGTGAAGACCCTCTTCCAGGTTGCAGAGTGCTTACTTCCCTGTTGTATCCTCATATGTTGGAAAGAGAGCTAGCTAGCTTTCTGACCTCTTCTTATAAGGGCACTCATCCCATTCATGAAGGCTCCACCATCATGAACTAATTACCTCCCAATGGCCCCACCTCCAGATACCATACATTGGGATTATGGTTTCAAATATGAATTTTGGGAATAGCAAACATTAAGCCCATAATATACCCTCAGTTGAGTCTACATTGGGGCAAATCTTACTTACCCCTAAGATTTTCATTTTTTTAGTAAGTCGTTTTGGAAAGGGCATAATAGAGTCATAGGTTGTGGCTGTATGGTCCGTTGACTGAAATTCGGGAACAGTGATCTCTGGAGGAAATACCAGAAACACAGGGTTGTGTGCAGTGTTTGAATTCATGATGGTGTCGTTGATATTTTGAGGTGAAAATCTGCTTGGTTGATGCTTCCGTCTAGATCATGTTCTTCTCCTGTGCCAAGGCTGTCTGGAGCACAGGCATTGTTGTGCCTTGTCTTGGAATTATAGAACCATCGAGTCACAGAGTCATGGAATCTCAGGGCTGGTTGAGATCTCAAGAAAGTTAGTGAGTAAAAGGCCCAGAACTGGGGGTCAGAGGACCTGACTGGTGGTCCTGATTCAGTCAGGAACTCACCCTGACCTTGGGCAAGTCACACCCTCCCTCTTGGTTTCAGCCTCCTTATGTATCCGTTGATCTTGCTGGTGATCTGTAAAGGTGATCTGTAAAGACATTTCAGTTCCCAAATAAATAAGTATTTTGAACATTTGACTGTGCTGACAGTTCTGTGGGTTCTGTGGGTGGTTCTGCTGGTCCAGCTCAGCTCAGCTCTACCAGGGTTTCTCATGCATCTGTGGTTAATGAGAGGAGTGCCCAGAGCTAGGTGATTTCGTGTGGCCTCAGTCACGCAACTGGCTGTTGGCAGACTCTTGATTCTCCTCTGATGCACTAATGTTTCTCAAAAGTCTGCTGACGCATGTGTGCTAAGGTCCCAATGACCTAAACAAATGGCGTAGACAACCCAGACTCAAGGGGTAAGAAAAAAGATTCCACATCTTTAGGGGAGGGTCTGTGTGTCGTATTGTAGCGCTGAAGGGAGGGGAAGAGTTGTGTCCACTGAGACACTGTTTTGTCATCCTCTGTTGTTCCTTGTTAAGATCAGTTCTTCCTAAACTGAAAATCCTGATGTGCAGCATCTAGCCACTTGCCAGTTAGAACATTTTAAAAGACCACCCCCCTTACAAGTCCTTTTCTCTGAATTTACCTTCTAGCATTCAGTCTTCCATGGGCATAGAATCCTAACAGGTGAGCGTCCTTTATGGAAATCCTCTGATGTTGGGCTAGTGTTCTCTGAGTTAAGCAAACTCTATTCCAGATACTTTGCAATGTACCATTTCATCCTCATTGCACACATTTTAGCTTTCCTCTGGACCTTTTCTAGTTTCTCTCTGTCTCTCTCTTTTGCATTGATGACCAGAACAGTGTAGTAATAACTATGACAAGTGGTAGAAAAAGAACTAAAGATAACTTTAATTCATGTGAGCTAATTCTGGAGATTTAGTGGAAGAGTCAGTCCTTGGAGCATAGAAACCTAGAATTAATACCAAGCCCTTTTATTTGCTAGTTCTGGAGTCCTGGCTAAGTGGTATATTAACTTACATATTCGTATTCACTTACATATTTATTGAAACATTGCCTTCCTGATTCAAAAATGGAAGTAATAATTCTGACCTTGTAGGGTTATTGTGAGTGAACTATAAAGTATCTGGCATGTAGTGGATGTTGAATAAATTAATGGATTAAAAATAATAGCAATAAATATTATTTCTATTATTATTACCATTTTGATTATGGTGACCAGGTGCTTTGTTTTGTTTTATGCTTGCATTACTTCCAAAGCTCATTTTGGTTGGTTTATCAGCCAAGTGTCCCATGTATTTTTGTGAACTTGGCTGTAAGAACATTGGAAATGTCACACTGAGTTAGTCCAAAAGTTATTCTACCTCATTTCTTCATTTCAAGGTGACTATGGAACTCCATAGCCTCCTGATAATAAATCCTCTACCCACTGATACACGGATAGCATGTTGTACACCGCTTTTCTTTCTTCCCGCACCCTTAGATTTCTTCTTAATTTCCAATCTGTCAAAGCCTACTCTTCTCATGAGAGTTAACTCTAGCCTTAAGGTGGTCTATGGAATAATGTATAATGTCCCTGTATTCCTCAGTGTTCCCAAATCGAGCCTTTATTTCAAACTTCTTATTGCTGACTGTTCCAGGGAAGTTTCAGTTGTGGACACAATGCAGGGATCGCCGATGGTAAAAGAATTCACCAAAGGCCACGAGGAAGGTTTAGGAAAGTTTAATAGGTGTGCTGCTACAGACAACAGCGGGCCACACAGAGAGATGCCTGCGTGAGATGCCCGAGGGTGGGCGTGCAGGGTCTTTTATTGGGGAAAGGGGGCTGCGAACACAAGGAGCAAGGGCTGCATGTTTGTGCAGTTCGTGCACAGGTACCTGATTGGTTGTAAGATCTGTCAGGGACTTCTCTGAATAATAGGATTTACGACTTTGATCTGGGAAAGATGTGAGTCCTGTCCGTTGAGGGCTTTGTGAGACAGGCTATCTCCTGGGGCGATGAGTTTTGTTAGACAATTGACGATGCTTTTATCTTGTAGAAATGCAGGTATGCAAAGGGTGGGTGTGGGGGTTAAGGTGTCAGTAGGCTCCAGGCACACAGAGAGCCCAGGGGTAGGGGTTTTATGACTCCAGAGAGCACCAGTCTGCTCCACAGTTGTTAGGAGGATCCAAGAGGTCAGAGTTCTCTGAGTCGCAATCAGTGGGATTAAGCCTCTTCTCACAGCCTCTTCTCTGATTCCCTTGCTAGGTCCGGGAAAGGCTCTCTCTGCTCTTTCTCTTATTCTTCTCTTCCTGCAGCAGAAGCTCACTTTTGTTTTTAAGTTTCTCGTCTTTCTCTCTGTTACAAAATCTCCCCCCTTTTAAAACATCTGTACTCTACAGAGTGCAGCAGTAGCGATCACGCCACCTGCTTACGGGGTCCCTAATTCTCCAGTTTTCTCTTGCTGTTTAATGCGTGAATGTCAGTAGCAAGGAGCTGAGTGGCTGTATATGATGCTTTTGAACAGTTTGGGGAAACTAATGAATATAACGGAATTGGCTCGTTGCTCCTATTGTCACTGGACAAAGAGGTAAGAAAAAACAGTGAGTTCAGGGATTCTGATTCCTAGTCCAGTTGCCCCATAAATGACCCAACAGCTTGTGTGTGTGTGCCCTGAAGGAGACCCATATATCCTATAGCCACAGGGCTGAGATTGCTGAAAATCCAATACAGAATCTCATTCGGGGACTGGATGAGTTACAATGTAAATTAAACGCCCAGCAGCATCCCAGGGTATCTGCTGTTGAAGTGGGGGCATTGACTGGGGAAAGAATGGGCTCCTGCAAGTTGGAATGGGGACATGTTGGAAGATCTTGATAAAAGCTGGGGACACTGAGACCCTAGAGTCTAGTGAGCCTTCTCTGCCAGTGGAAGAAACTTCTCTACACCATTGGGAGTGGCCTTGTCACCCCAGTGGTAGAGGCCTCTTTAACCCCATCTGAAGGGATCAACCCTGCAAGACCTGTAATGACTTCTCCTGAGACAGTTCCCATGCAAGACAGGGCTGAGTCTCCTTAGGACCCACCCCACCCCTCTCTTTGTTTCTAAGCCTGTAACTAGATTGAAGTCCCAGCTGGCCCCTAAAGGTGAAGTATGTATAGTTTCCTTTAGTTATTTTTTGGGTTCATTAAGGTCCTTGGTGTTGTGGACTTAATTTTTATCAAAGCTGAAACTCCTTCTACCAATAATTCTTTAGAAGTCTTTTCTGCCACTTTTTCTCTTCTTTTGTGACTCTGAGTACACATCTGTTTAGACTACTTGAAATTGTCTCACAAGTGACAGATGCTTATAGTTCAGTCTTCTTCAACATTATTTTCTCTTTCATTTATAATGATTTTTATTGGTGGTCTTCGAGTTTGGAATGCCTTTATTCTTCCATGTTTATTCTGTTGTTAATCTCAAATAATACATTTTTTAAAATTTTCAGGTACAATATTTTTCAGATCTGAAATGTCAGCCTTGTTTTTATAGTGCTCATTTAAACTTTGTCTCCATTTCCATCTTTTTCTGTAATTCCTCAAATTTATGTATAAGTTACTTTAAAGCCTTTTTCTATTAGCTTCAATCTGGGTCATTTGTAGATTGGTTTCTGTTACTGCTTTTCTTTGACTGTGGTTTTCATTTTCATGTTTTTTGATTTCATAAGAGGTGTTGTGTACAGAAAACCAGTGGAGACTGAAGAATGCTGCATTTCAGTTTTTATTAAAAGAGAATGACAGTTCTTTGCTAAGCTTTGTAGCGATGTGAAGAGGTGATCATTCCAGTTTTATCAAATGTTTAAATTGATCGAGGACTCAGCTGCCACTTTACGAAGGCTGAGTTCGCCTCTAGTGGACCACCTCCTACCTTCCTTATGCTGCTTCTGCCAACACTGTCACTCCTGCAGCCGCCTGGAAGCTAGTCCCTGCCCAGAGAGTGATGGGCTGTAATGTGGCCCAAGCGTCACAAGAATGTAATTGGGCAAGTTCTTTTTCCTTTGCCATCCCACTTTGTATTTTCTCAGCAAAGTTAAGGGAGTTGTGGGATGGAGTTATTGGACTGCACCCTGCAGTCCTGCCACCCTTGCAGTTGCCCAGCCCCTAGACTGAAGGAAGAACCCGGCATCAGCGACAGCGACATCGGTGATTTGTTGGACCGGGAGTCTTAACAACTCAGAGGCATAGGTCCTGGAGTGACACCCCATCACGTATGGCCGAAGGCAGGCAGGACACGGCAGCAATCTTTGCTACACGGGGAGGAGGAGGGTATCGTTTATAGGGGATGTGACGTCAGAGGGGCTCCTTGGTTGCCAGGGGGGCTGTTGGAACATGTCCCCTCCCCGCTTTTTGGGTTACTAACCATTGTGAGGGCTGCTGTTCCCTGTTGATGACCAAACATACAGGAGCCATTCTGGTCCAAGGGCCAGAACAGTCGTTATCTGGGGGTAGGGCCAATCATGCAGGTAGTTAATTGATTATACTTTCAGCTTAGGAAGGGGAGGCAGTCATGGGCAGAAGGTAAGGGTGAGGCAGGGCCGGGTTGGGAGGGGGATGGACAGAGAGTAAGAGAACTGCCATCTTAGGGGTCCTGACCGTACAGGAGTTAATTATCATATCACAAAAATTACTGTTGGTTTGCAGAGTATTCCAGATTTTACCCGGTCTCACTTGCCTCTGCTGATGCTGGTAGCTTGGCTAACCCCTTCCTGACCAGGCAGAGTTTCTT